AAGGATTAAAGATTAGTTGAATATAGGTAGGATTGTAAGAACTCAGTGAGTTACCTGTGACAGTTTTGAAATTTTAACAAGATTCCCACATACACCCAAAGTTTAGCTTCAACCATTCTTCTAAAGATGTTCAACTATATGTTTTGTTCATCTTCTTGATTTGATGTATTTAGCCAACTTCTCCCTTATCTTCTTCTTACATCCTTTCGGCTTCTGATACTTTCTCCTTGTATCTCACCATTCTCTTTATTGTCTTAATATGCCAGAATAAACAAAATGAAATAATTGGACATAGACTCATAGAAAACCTAGTGTTCTGAGCAGATTTTTTAAAATAAAACAATTCAGGAGCTTCTGAGTAATGGTTATATCTAATACAAATATGGAATAAAATGGCATATGTGAATGAAAAACAACATTAATAAGCATATTTGTTAGTGTTTTAAAATAAAGTAGTTCTTAATTAAATTTGGCAATAAACAAGGGAGTGTTAGTGTGTTAGGGCCCCCCAGTTATTTTGTTGCAGCCGGACTGCGGCATTAGTGCAGAGAAAGGGGAATCCCAAGCTGAGAATCTGGTCACATGGTAAACTCATAAACTGTAGCAAAAAAATGAGGAAATAAGATAAGATTTATTGGGTAAAGAGAAGATGTTGGCTTTGAAACAAAATGGAATTTGTTACAACTTATGAGTTAGATTCTCTAGGGTCCTACCTACTCAGGGGGGCTCCTTGTTCCCAATGTTTCCCTGTCTGCCCACTGCTCAAACAGTTGAATGATCAAGGGGCAGATGTCTGATCCACGAGAAGCCAAAATTTGCTCAGCCCTTAGAATGTTAAACTTTAGCTGAGACATCCAGAGAACTTATGGGAGTACAGACATGTTAACGGCAGAGATATTTGATTAGTCAGAGGAGACAGATCAGTGAAGATCATGACTTCTGACTACCTGGAGCTTTCAGTTTAACAGGGAAAACAGACATGATAAAGTGTGAAAATGAAATTTCATTCATTCATTGAACAAATATTTATTGAGCACTTATTATGCATAAGCGCACCATTCTAGGCAAGGAAGACAAAGATCCCTGCTATTCATCTTTCCATACAGGATAGAAACAATAAGTAATAAACATAGAAGCACATAAAAATAATATGAACTTAAAAGGTGATAGATACTATGGAAATAAAAGTTTAAAGGAGATCAGAAGGAAAATTATATGAAATGACCTAAAGGCCAAAGAAAAATGGCAGGTTGGAGAAACTGAAAGATTATTACAGCTGAAATATGAACAAGGCCAGTGGCTCCAAATGAGTGTGAAGAGGTTAGCCAAGCTAGATTGTTAAGAACTTCCTAAGGCATTTTGAGGATTTTATCTTTATCCTAAGGCAATCCAAAACCACTTAAGAATTTTAAACTATAGACTGATGTGATCACATTTGCACTTTAAATTTATCATTCTGCCTGCAACCTGGAAAACATGTTGGGAAGCACACAACAGTGGGCAGGAGAGAATGGTTAGGAGGCTCTTGTCCTCATCCAAGCGAGACAAAAGTGTCCTTGCCTAGCTTGTGTTTCCTGAGTCAGACAATGGTGGCGTTGATAAAATAGCTGCTATCTGTCATAGACATTCAGCTTCTCATGTTTAGAATAAGGTAATACCCATTGTTATGGTTTAGATTTGAGGTGTCGCCTAAAAGCGCCTGTGTGAGACAATGTGGGAAATGTTCAGATGTGAATTGACTCAATTGTAAGCGCTGTAACCTAATTAGTGGATTGATCCATTTGATGGATTCATAATTTAAATGGATTAATGGTTGGTAAGTGTAGGCTGGTAGAATGTGCCTCAGCCTCTGAAACCATGAGCTGAAATAAACTTCCCATCCTTTTGGTCACAGTGAAGAAAAGCTGACTAATATACCTGGCAAATTTTCTTTGGCCTTTGATGTGACATAAAGACAATTGGAAATGTCCACTCCCTTTTCATTGGTTTTATATCTAGCAAGTTTAATTATGCCTCCTCATCTTTAGGAAGAAAAATGTAATATGAGTTATTTCAGGAGCTATGGCAACCATTGTCCTTGCCAGAGTTTACCTTTACCCAGACATGAATTGCCACTCTCAAGTTGAGAGAGCTAATACAGAACACAGGTAAATAAGGCATGCATTGCTTTATTAACAGGGTCTTCGTGCTAAATCCTCATACTTTTTCTCCTAATAAGATGGTGCAGACAGTGTAGGAGAAGCCATATATTCCTTTTTCACTCTTCTATTAAGTTGATTAAAGTTATATACTGGTAAGCCGTGGGCTATTGGGCTTATTTTATGATGATATTTTTATATTCTCATATAGTATTCTTAAAAGGCAGGGACACTAGGCAGGTGTCTTGCCTCGTTGCTGCACAAGCAATTTAGCATTTTTGCAGTTTCATAAGTCCATGGAAAGTTTATCCTCCCTAGTAGTTTTTCAAGTGTTTGACTTCTAGCTTGGGTACTGCGCCCACCTTAAGAAACTAGTTTCTAATCTCATTTGTCCAGGATCTAGCACAGGTTCTTTCAGTTCTAGACAACCAGACAGAAATTACATGCAACCTTCAACTCCATTGCTTCAGATCTTGCCTCTCCCACATAACAAAGGGGGAGAAAAAGACTTTTTAGTTCTCATAACATCTCTACCAAAATTCCCCTTCATTCCTGAAGATGTGGAAAAGGGAGAAGAGGACTAAGTACCTCCTTCTGTGATGTTGGGACCTAGTTCCCTGTAGCCCAGTTGAATGTCCTTGATTCTTGAGAAATCTTCTTTTCCTAGGGATGCTGGAGGGAAGGAGAATGGAGCTTAGGAAGGACGTGGCTTTTAACTGTTCCCATTGCAATATCTTATTACAAAAAATGTACTTTTTAAACATAGGTTTCCATCTTGTATTACTTTGTGTCTTGGAGTCTCTCCCTCGTGAATTATTTTGCATCTTGTTTGAAGTGAATCATTTTAAAATTTATATCCTGTCCTACTTCTATTTCAAGACTTTACTTAAAATATCTTTTTTTTCCTCTTCACCCTGCTCAGATTTGCATGAACATTTTATGCATTTCACACTCTTTAAAATGAAGAAAATAATATGCTAATCTGAATAGTCATAAAATCAAACTCAGAATATTGGATTTGATTCCCAGCAGAGTGGACAATTCCTATTGCTATCTGCTATCTCCATTGTTTCTGTAACAGTTAGGGAGAAGATATGGACTAATGAAATAAAGGAGTAGAACACAAATTTGGAAATATTCTCTATCTGATGGAGCCCAGCAGAGTGGGTACTTGCTCCTTGAGGGCAGGTAACTTGCTGCCTTTTTGTATCCTTTTTGTATCCTCTGCTCCACTCAAGGAGTTAACCACACATACAGGAGTTACACACTGTATATAGATGAATCAAAACTAAGATAAATAGTTATGATACATATAATACTATGCTTAATTTTACTAGAAATCCCATTAGGGATGGCCAAAGAAGATATTTTTGACTAGAAATTGAGTGGAGTGGTGGGGTTTTATGTATTTATCTAGCATTAGTGTGTGGACACAACCAGGGAAAGTTAAATCCAGGAAGGGAGGTACTGTATCACTGACTAGAATTCAGACAAATGGTCCTCACATCCAAGTATGCATCAAAATCCCGTAATTTGGTGCTTCACAAGGTACAGAGAGTTCTAAGCCCTACTTCCTGGAAATCTCCAATTTAGTTTTTCTGGGTGGGGACTGACAATTTTCATATCTCCATCTCCCTTCTGGGTAATAACTGCTGCTACTGATTGAGGGAGCACATTTTGAAAACTACTAAACCAGACCTTGAAGATCTGACTCAGCTCATACAGTGTGAAGAGGCTGCTTGCTCTGTGATTTGCTCAGAGAAGGGATGAGTTTCTAGACTTCAGAGAGCAATACTGAGATAATGGAACTGAGTGGATAGTTTTAAGGGAATAGTTTAAGGGCCTTGCTTCCTCTTGATCTATAGGACTGAAAACTGTACTCTAGCAGCAAAAGAGAATGGCTTGGAGAATCCAGATGATAGTTAAAGTCAGCTGACAAATGAGGTGGATAAACAGAATGCATGGAATTGACCTAGTAATACTTTTAGCTAAGTTAACCTAATTTAGCAGTGTAAAAGCATGTACATACATCTAAGCTAATTTATATACAGCTTTATTCCCTAAAATGTTCTTATGCTGCAAAAAAAAAAAAAAAAAAAAAAAGTTTATGCCCTTAAGCTGACTGTGCATGTCAAGAAAAAAATGGAGAAGGTAAAAAAAGGGGCAGCCCAGGGAGAGGGGAAAACCTATTTATCTAAGAAAAATGATTTAGAAGGACTATGCCCACTGGTTGCTCCCATCTCTTCCCACTCAGTTCATGCTATCTCCCAGGTAAAAAGACTTAGGAGATTTCTGAAAAGTAACAACAGCTTCAGGAAGCAGGTGGCATGGGGACACGTTTCACCTTATTTCAATATTGAAATGGAAACTACCTAAAATTCAGAACTGATTTCATATGCTTCATTATGCTCAGCTAATTAGGTTTTTTGAATTTTAAATCATGAGTATAAAGTTTTCAATACTGTTTTTAGTGTTTCTTCCAGATGAATGTTGTATAATACACTAATTACTTTGGACTTTGTGGGACATCAACATTTATTTTCTTCACAGAATTTTGTGGACTCAGGTGGATTTTTCTCAATTTGCCAACAAAAAAGGGAAGAGTGGTATGACATTAAATGAACTATGCCTAAAAAAGATAGAAATGTTTTAGTCACCAAATGGTCAATAGCTACATTTTATTTTGTTTATGTTTTTGTTAATTTGAAAATAGAAAAAAAATACCTACTTAGTGATCCTTTCAAGGAAAGCTATAGCTCTGCTCATGTATAAAAAAGCCACATAAAAGTGACTCTGGAGACCTTGGCTACACGTTCAGCGGTCAAATATTTCAATGCTTCGCTGCTCCCGTTCCTGTTACAGGTACATGTGACAGCGCTGCAGCTATGAGTGGAATTTTAAAGAGGAAGTTTGAAGAAGTTGACGGCTCCTCTCCCTGCTCCTCTGTGCGAGAATCGGATGATGAAGTTTCCAGCAGCGAAAGTGCTGACAGTGGGGACAGTGTCAATCCGTCCACATCTAATCATTTCACCCGTGAGTACCCAGACCGTTCCTGAAGCTGAGTGCATGGTGCTACGGTGAAGGAATGTGTCATCCTGGACACTTGTATTTTTACCTTTGTTGCTATTTTTTTAATTGGTTCTTTTTAGTTATACATGACAGTAGAATGCATTTTGACATAATTATAAAAGCATGAAATATATCTTGCCTCTTTCAGTTCCCATTAATTTTTTTGAAACGATCAAATAGAAAAATAAATTAAAATTGAAATATTTTTGAATGAGCTTTTATGACTCTTGGTAATTTTTGGCAGTAGAGTATTTGGTTGTGTTTTCCAACTGATCCATCCAATGAGAATGGACATTTTATTATTACTATGTTTTTGAGGAAGCATCTAGGACCCTGGGATAAGGAGGAAATATGGAATACATCCAGATTTGAAAACATGTCTCCTCCAGAAACTGAAACCATGTTTGGGGGTGGGGGATGCTGCATTTAGGTGCCTAAGGCCTCAGTTTTGGGGAGAAAGCTTAGACAGCCATGTGTTGAAAAGAGATGGGGAAGCATCAGAACTCCCTGGTGTGCAGCCTGCAGCCTCTTCCCTGCTCATCCTTATTAGCCATCAAGAAAAAAAAAAAATATGCTTTCTCTTTGATTCATTTTTTCTACCACACTGTAAGGTAAGCCCTTCCTGTCAGACAAGGTAATGTGAAGTTGAAAGGACTAATGTGAAAAATTCTTAAGCTAAGGGACACTGACTTGTAATAGCTAAATAATCCTTTTGCATGTGTTTCCTAAGCTGGAAGGTTTTAACCTGTCACAGTATAATGATAGATAACTTATCCTGGTTCCTTAATTTTCTTATTGGTTTATTTTATGAATTTATGGGTCTATAATACCAAATTTAATTTGGAAATGTGGCAACCCCCCCAAAAAAAAAGCCCAAATGAATTCAAATGTTTTTTTTTTTTTATTTACTACTCAATAACTCTAGAGCATGAGATAAATATACTAAAATCAATAGCATTTCTTTAAGCAATTAAACTAATTAGAAAATATGATGAAAGGGCAATTATAACTACTATAGCAGGAAAATCATAAACTATTTGGGGACAAAGTTATTGTGTGATGTAGGTGATTTACTAATATGTATCTCATGATGGCATAAAATGAGCTTGTGCTTTTAAGAAAAAAAGAACATAGATATTTACTTCTGTGGTTTTAATACTAATAGTGACAATAATAACACCCCTCCAAGGTTTTGCAAAAATCAAGAACAGCACATGAGATGACATACATAAAGGAACTTTGTAAAATATGAGGTACTAAGCACAAAAATTATGACATAGCTAACATTTATTGGATACATTGTATGCTCCATTGCTAACTAAGGCTGAGAGAGTCTAGGCTGCCCAGGATCACACAGGACTTGAGCCTGCATAAATACACATGTCCTGCTCCATCGTCTTTACCTTTCCTGCTCATTCTGCTCCCTACATGATACTGGACCTATCTTTAAAATATTTTTTATTGTGAATTATAAAAAAAAATTAGTAAAGAGGCAAATTATATTTCTGGTTATAAAGATATATAAAGCTATTAATGCTTTCTAGATTTATTTATAAATAAGAGCATACAATCTCAATAAAATCCTTAACCATATTTTCTTAGAAGGTGATAGAATGAAAAAAATCTATTTGGAGAAATAAGCTAATGCTAATAAGAGGATATTTTTAAAAAGGAAGGTATAAATGTTGAAAAGCCATTCCAGGTATCAAATTATAGTTAAAAATTATATAAAACTGAAGGTTTTTTTCTCCTTCCAGTGTGTATCTTGTAGGAAACCATGGAAAATCCCAATGTTATAAAGAGGAATTTTATATATATAAGAAAATGATCATTATTGAGCAATGGAAAACAAAATAAATTTTTAAAATAAATGATTATACTATTGGCAAACTCAAAAAAGAAATAATTTAGATTTTCATCTTACGATGCATGACAAAAAACATTCCAGATGGATTAAATAGATAAATATTTTTTTAAAAAAAATCATAAGGGAAGTTGCATATTTGTGAGGCATTTGGTGGGATCATTACATGAGCTTTGAAGTAATAGGCAAATAAATCATATTGGAAAACACTTAACATATTTAATGATGTAAAAATATTTTAAACCTAACTGCTACAAGAAAATAAGGCCCAAAGAAAGAAGAGAAAAATTTATATTGGGAAAATATATTTCATATGGTCTAGGTTGATTTTTTAAATAGAATATTAAATACATATGTAAATATTTGAGATGAGAATTGAGATGCACCTTCTTAAAGATAATCCAGTAGCAGGAAATATGATTAGCATGAACTTTAAGGCATTTAACAACAATAATAAAAAAGCAGATTAATGAATAATACTGAGACTTCAGCAAGACCCTGTCTGTCTCTAAATAAAATATGAAAAAAGGTCTGGGATGTGGCTCAGTGGTTAAACACCTCTGGGTTCAATCCCCAGTACCAAAAAAAAAAAAAAAAAATCTATCTATCTATCTGTCTTCACAAGTCTGCACTTCAGAAATTTTTGTCTGAAAGGAGAAACATCAAAAACAAGGGGGAAGTCTATAAATGAAATTTTTGATGTTTTTTGGTAGGGTTAGGGTTAAGGTTAGGATTAGGGTTAAGTTTAGGGATTAGGGTGTGGGTTGGGAAGGGAAAGTGGAAGAGTGGCGAAATGATCTGTTACCTACGGTGATTCAGTGAGTATATTTTCATGATATTTATGAAGACTACATGGCAATATATAAAATGTTTATGAGATAATGTTATGTAAGAAAAGAACCCAAGTTTCTTCTGTACTATTCAGCAAAGATTATAAAATGCACAAAGGCAAAGAAAGATTTAATGTATAAGAATTGGAAGCAGTTCAACTTGTTGAAGAATTAGAATGATGGATAAATTTTTATATTTACTACTTCTTATTCTTGTTAATAGTCTATGCATTCCCACACAAAACATGTTTCAAATTTAAACAGCAAGAAATAACTGCAGTTCACATTGTGTTGGTGTAGGCTAAATAGCAAATGTTTGATGAGTTGAATTACACAATACTCTAGTCAGCTCACAAAGACTTTTTTTTATCATTTATATGGAGCAGGTATTATTTTTCCCATTGGAGAAAATAGGCTTCTTTTTATGATGCCCAATAATGTATTGAAATGTTTCAGCGCACCACATAATATCAGTGGTAGTGGCCTTGGTTAGTTTACCAAAATGCTGATTTAACTATACTAAATGGAGTCTGGTAGATACTGTCATTGATTTTTAAAGATAATTAAATAAATGCTTTACTTAGAAGTGCCCTTTTCACTGAATAGTCTTCTTTGTTCTCTGTATTACATTTTGGAGGAAATGATAAATTAGGAGAAAAAGAATCAAAATGCAGAAATTCTACCTAGAATATTTGCTCTATATAAGTGCTGAGCGTTTTAACCAATGCAAGAGGTGTGGTTAGAATGGTTTCTTATTTCTAAAAATATATTTCACATTATTTGCTACTCCATAAATTCATATACATTTTAGGGACTATTTTATCTATTATATTATCTAGGTTAAGGTAAGACTTTATATTCAATGTCTTTCTGATCTGAATCTATGGTCAACACCTTTCACAAATGTCTCCATCAATGAATTCTATTTCTTTACTTTTCCACTGTCAAAAATAAAGAATGATGATCTTAGAATGAAGAATCTTTTGAAGACTATCAAATTTATTTATCATTACGAAACAATTTAGCTTCATATTGAGATTTTTAAAAATGCAGTTACCTTTATTTAAATCTCACTCTTCATAGGGTTCATCTTTCAAACTAAAATATCTTATGTACTCAATGCTTTACAAGTGCTAACAGATTGTATAATGTAACGTTTTGTTGTTGTTACACATATAGAAATTGATAAAATGGTTTGGAACATGTCAGCAGCTGTTGTAGTAGAAAATTCCATGCTATTCTAAGCTTTCTGTTAAAATATTCAATTTGTACCACACCACATTATGATAATAACAGCTTCAAAATGTAAATCTGTAAGCGTATGATGGCTTTTTACTTCATTTTTTTTAATCCTGCTAGGCAACTACATACTTACCAGTTATTAACCAAGGTCATATCTTGCTCTTCCCCTGCGGTAGAAGCAGCAGATTCTGTGTGACTTTGGAATGCTTTGTTTCACCAAATCCCTGTGCTCTGTAGCCAATCAGCCTGTACTTGAGCACTGTCAGAAGGAGAGTTAAAGAGAAACTGGAGAAGGATGATTTGTTTTCTGCTTTCTCAAGGTTCTTGGCACTTCACAGGAGTAACAAGAAGCTGTATGATGAAACATGGTCCCAAAAGGAACATATTTTTCCTGCAACATAGCATTTCTACAAATAAATGTATCTCAGATAGGAAGTAAAAAAAAAATCGAGAGGTAAAAGGATAGATTTTCTAATTGCACTTGAAAGCTTGCGGTGGATGTCTTACAGAGGGGTAAGATTTTTAAATTTACAGAACAGTTTCACATTCTTGAGATATTTTAATGTTCAAAAGTTGCTGTGTGATTAGGAGTTATTATCATGTCCATTTCATATAAAAACTAGCAATCAGAGATGTATTTGTAATTTATCCAAGAGCTGAGAGTTACACTCTATGCTCCTCTCCTTCCATACCTCCCTGACCTTCCTTTTCTCTCTGAATACACAGCATAAGTGCACAGAGTCAGAGTGCTTCTTCACTGCTGTTTCTTACCGCTGATTCTACATTTCACAGTAGGAGTGGACATAAAGAATCAGTGGAAAACAAATTTTGATGTGAAACTTTACTGGATGTATGACTGACATCTGTCTAGCATGTTCTGTTTAACACAGGGTTAAAATACCTTGAAGATTTAGATACATTTTCATCAAATAGAATATATTATGTTACAGGCTGTGTGCTAGGGTAGGACCTTTCATATGTGTCAAAGTGATAGATTCCCAATAGTAAATACAATTGAGATACAGCGA